CTTCTCTCCTAGGCCCAAATATCCTCCTCAACACCCGATTCTCAAACACCTGCAATCTGTGTTCCTCCCTCTGAGTGAGAGACCATGTTTCGCACCCATACAAAACAACAGGCAAGATTATTTTTTTGTATACTTTAATTTTCAGGTTCTTAGAAATCAGACGGGAAGACAAAATATTTTGAACTGAGAAGTAGCAAGGATTTCCAGAATTTAATCTCCTCCCAACTTCCTCATGAGTGTCATTTTGATTTATTGTTGTTCCCAGATATTTGAACTTTGTAACCCTTTCAAAGGATGATATGAGGTATAAGCTGCTTAAGTCTTCGATATAAGCGTCTCCATATCACCAGCTGGCTTTGATTTGCACTGTCGCCCCAAAGGAATAATAATGGATTGTGGGTGTCTGAGGACAAATTTCTGGCGAGAATATTTTGACCTAAGAAAGGGAAAGTTGAAGGAAAACGGAGAAAGTGACGTGCTAAGCCGCTGTGTGATTTGTACTTTCTCTGACGTTAACAGAGGATTATACCAAGGAAATTTTGATGATCTGGTCATGTAGAATGCGTGAAGGAATTAATAAATATTAGATACTGTATTTGGTAAACATGAAAGGAAGAGACATCTTACGATAAATTGACGTCAGTGGGAGTATAATATTAAAATGGACCTTGAGATAAACAGGATTTTAGAATGTGAATTGGATTGAAGTTGCTCGATATAGGATCTGAGGACCTGAGCTTTTCGACACTGCCTTTAGCGGCTGAGCAGGTACAAAGTTTACAAGTAAGAATGTTCTCCACAGAGTCAGTTCGTGTTAGATATTGGCACGCAGGACGGGCAAGAAGGAATCATCGGACAGAAACAGGTGTGGACAGAGATCAAAGAGAATATTTGAATGAGCAAAGGGGACGGGCGGGCCGGCGGGGAGGGGGTCCTGACGTGTCCGGGCGAGATCCGATCGATGGCAGCATCCCAGTAGCGCGGTCCTTGCAGCCGCCATGCTGTGTGACGCCATCGCTGACGTCAGAACAATATCCCTGCAACAAGAATGCCTGAGTGCACCTTCTGCGTGATCAGCCCAGTATTTAGACACTCGCCTTCTCTCGTTTTCTCTGGAAACAAGCCAGCTTCAAACATCGTTCTTTTGAATTCTGTGAAGATATGGAGATCAACTCCTTGGAAAAGAATCCATCTTGATAAGCTGATAGATGCTTGGATAGTGAAGAAACCCCCCCAGCGGTCCGAATCATCACCCACATTTAATTACCCTGTTTCCGTAAGTTCCGTTTTAATATTATCCTCCCATCTATTCTTAGGTCTTACGATAGGTCTCTTTTATTCAAGCTTACCAACTGAAGTTGTATGCTCGTTTCTCATCTCATCTGAGTGGGTGGTACTGCTAATATGTTAAGAAATGTTGTGTGCAAATCAGGTGTTAAAAAATTTCGTGAAACGAGTCAGTCATTAGCAGGTTTACTGACATATTTTTTTACTGAAAAGTGTAAACAAAGCAGAATGAAAAATTGAAATCATTAGCTTTATTTATTTATGAAAGTTGAGAGTAACTAACACATGACATCTGTTTTGATGAAGATGCCTCTGGCAACACCTTATTCTGTTAGGTATAATTTATTTGTCCGAGTATTTAATGAATTTAGTTTAATTTCTTGGGATTTTAGGGGGATAGATTGATGCCTTAAACCAACTTGCCCACGTCCGTAAAATACCAAATTCAGTTGAACATCGTGTTGTTTAATCCTTCCTTATTCGTTCTGACAGGGATCAGGTATTACGAAATATGTCTGTCCCCGTTGAATTTTTCGAAAATTGTATTTGGAAACAGAAAATGGCTGGTAAGATTGAAGCGTATGCAGTGTCTCGGATATTACGTGACTTTCAAGCTGCGAGGAACTTTACCGTATTTACAGTCGGTGCATATACGGTCTTCTACTTTGTTGACAAAAGAATTTATTTAGAGTCTTGTGTTATAATCCTTTCAGGAGGAAAACGTTCACGAAGTGATTCTAAAAACGACAAAGAATCGCTTCTAGCAGAAGATGTATCAGCGAACGGGCGGGTATCCGTTCAAAACCTCGCAGATGTTTTAAAATTACGTCGTACGATACGTTTTAACCAGTTGGACAAATTCAGTGCGAGAAATAGTTCCCATCGCTACCCTATCAAATAACCACGGTTAGAACGCTGGCCTTGTAATCCTGGGGGCCTCGGGTTCGATTCCCGGCGGTGCCCGAATTTATAACTTGTGTTGGGCAAGGCCGTGGTCTAGGCAACACGGAGTTTTCCTCCGTGGCATCCCAACAGTTACTCCATTCACACACAGAAGAAGGCAATGGCAAACCACTTCTGGATCATCTGCCAAGAACGTATATGAACAGGTCCCAGTCCGAGAAAAGGATGGAAGGATCCTGTTCATATGGACCTGTCGCCAGACAGAACACTAAATAAAATAAAATAAATGGTTGTTCTATAAAATCCGCGTATATTGGAAGGCATATTAACTTTGTTCCTTGTCAGGTTTTTGTTTGAATCGAAAGACTTTCTTTGGGTCAAAATAACATTGCATGATTCTTATCACACGCATGCGTATTTAAGATCAAAATAACTGTTTAGAATTTCATGAAACATACTTTAAGTTGCACTGTTAATAATCAGTACACATTATCAGTTTTCTTTTCTCTCTTTTTCTACCTTTCTTTCTTTATTCCTTTGTTTTCTTCTGTGATCTATTGAAGTAGGCCTCGCCATTCGTCTAGACCAGCGTTTCTCAAACTATGTTACGCGTAGCACTGGTGGTACGCGAACTAAGTAAGAAAATCAGAAGATAATATTAACGTAAATAGTTTTTCCCTGAACACATTTGGTTTGTGGTACATTTAATGTGTTAAATGAGAATTGGTGGTACACCAGCGAGAAAGGAGTGAGAACCTCTGATCTATACGGGTGACTTCTCGCCCAGGTTATCAGAGTAACTTGATATTAGTGGTCACTGTGTGGATCTGGAGCACGTTTTTCTCCGAGATCATCTTCTGATCATTTCACAATTGGTCCATACTCATCAACCACCGCCTCACGAGGTTTGAGTGCATTATCATTCACTCTTATTAAGTTTGGGGCTTAATCTTTGACACCGGACTTAGCTGGTCTCGTACTTTAGCTTAGTTTAATTCAGTTTGAACTATTCTCACGTGTGTCATCAACGGTCGTGTAAGTTTTTGCCCCATGTCACAGAAATGTCCGAATCAGGTAACTTTCAAAAAGTACAGTACGGAACAAAATTATGTGAACAGAAAGCAGCAATAGAGATTTTAGTTTCCATTTCAACGTTAATCAGGTTAGGTTTTATCCGTTCATCTTCGACATATTTTATCTGTACGACATAAAATTCGCGATTCAGACAGGTTTTCGTTTAATTACATATCATATAGGCAGATTTGGCCTGTGGTGGTTGAACGAAGCATTGAAAAAGGCAAGCAGACCGGAAGCAGTATTTTTATGGTAAAACTTTGACATACTTATATACCTTTTCCAGGAAAAAAAATTTGTTGACTCGATTACTTTAAGGTGTCGTGGGACAAAGAGATTTTGCAACACGTGAGAAACCTTTGGCGTTTGGTATTGCTTGAAACTGGACTTAGCATCGTGTTTCTTGGGGTCAGCTGTACATACAGTAGTGACCTCAGTTGACCTCCTGACTTAAGACACACGTTTCTCACCAAGTAATTTAGGAATTTGTGGCCGACGATGGATGGAGCGGAGTAACTTCAAGTTCTAGAGATCAGGTTTGTACTTGATGTATGTTTCTCTGCGTAACATACGCAGAGAAACATACAGTCATACGAAAAATTGTAGAAAACCAGTGATCGTGGCAGTGAATTGTGGTATATCTGTTGCTTTTGGTTTAATCATGAAATAAATTAATTTATTTTTTATTTATTTATGGTAGCTCATACTATATAACGTCGAATTATTTTTTTTATTTGTAGTGTTCTGTCTGACGACAGGTCCATATGAACAGGATCCTTCCATCCTTTTCTCGGACTGGGACCTGTTCATATACGTTCTTGGCAGATGATCCAGAAGTGGTTTGCCATAGCCTTCTTCTGTGTGTGAATGGAGTAATTGTTGGGATGCCACGGAGGAAAACTCCGTGTTGTCTAGACCACGGCCTTGCCCAACACAAGTTATAAATTCGGGCATCGAACCCGAGACCCCGGGATTACACGGCCAGCGTTCTAACCGCTAGACCACGTCATCTTATTATTATTTAGTGTTCTGTCTGAGGACAGGTCCATATGACCAGGATCCTTCCATCCTTTTCTCGGGCTGGGACCTGTTCATATACGTTCTTGGCGGATGATCCAGAAGTGGTTTGCCATTGCCTTCTTCTGTGTGTGAATGGGATGCCACGGAGAAACCGGGGAAGCCCCCGGAGGAAAACTCCGTGTTGCCTAGACCACGGCCTTGCCCAACACAAGTTATAAATTCGGGCACCGCACGTCGAATTACAGGAAGATTAATGAATTGGAAAGGATTTGGAAGGAAACTGTCTTGGTAGGCACTGTCCTGTTATTTCCCTGGAAGAAAGTCATAAAATTTATCAGGGTGAGCTATCTCCAGGCTGTTATTTTAACCCGGGATTTTCATATAGACGTAAATGAGCCTGGAAACAAGTTGGCGCATTTACATGTATTCGTTTAAAAGTAGTTGAGTAGTTCAGCTAAATCACCCCATTTTGAATACTGAAATATTCTGGAATTTTCTTGGAACTGCAGAGGAACACCACGTGAAAACACAACCATTGCTGTCACTGGTTGGAATTTGCAACCAGCTGACCACAAAATAAAATTTAAACGCCATACCACCAAGCCCAATTTTTCGTGCAGATACGGAATTTTAAGTGTACGCACTACTTTAAAATTCTATCGCATATCACGAACTTTACGGCAAAGCACGAACGTGTTTCAACTGTTGTATTCAATATTAAACAGCTTTTAGTGGAAGTGCCGTTTGTATAGGGCAGTTTAATAGCCATTGATCTGACAAATTATCCATACGTAACTGGTCTCTTGTTTATACAGCCAGTTAATTCTTGATCGGAACCACAATTTGGTTCAAGAGTATGATTGGTCAGGCCAGTGGAAAATGCCCCAACCCTTCATTACAGGAATTGGTTCTGCGGTCAGTAGAACTGCGTTGTTAGAGATTTTCTCGGGAATCTCCGATACCCACCATAGATTTCTGAAATTGTTCAAAGTTTAACCGAATTTTGTGTGTGACTATGTTTAAATCGTGAATTGGAAGTTTTTTTCCCACAAATAATTAATAATAATAACGGTATCAGTGACCCTGAACCAGGGTCAAACATTGCCCTATGGCGCATCAGTTAGTAGCTTATAGAAAATGCATTTGAAATTAATGGATTGATACGTTAAAATTTTCCGCAAGATGTCTCTGTTTGTATTTCGACGCTAGAGTACTCACCAGAGTCGTAATTTAAATATGCTGGTTAGATGATATTGATAAGCTTCTCGTTGCACATGCACAGCGCTCCTTTCGGAGCTCCTCGGGGGGGTGCGTTTTAAAATCTTGAGCAAGAAACTAAACCAACCCCCCCGAATGGTCATTTGTTTACTCGGCATTGTTGTGTTGGTACAACAATGCTGAGTAAACAAATAACGTAACATTGTTTGATGACATAATTGTTTGGTTACAAATTGTTTGACGACGACGGGGAATCAGAAATGTCTTTTTAACTACATTCCAATAATGTTTATTATTTAGTATTATTATTGTTGTCATGATTGTTGAATTGGATTTAATTGAATTATTTTAGTGGTAAAACCGAAATGCTGAATATTACTTGTCTTATAGCTCGAAATCTTACTCATCTGAACTCAGTTTAACTTATAACTCGTCCTCACAACAATCGTTAACATCTGTCTATTAAAATTCCATGTAATGCGTCTCATACGAAATTATGATCTCGTTATTGAAATTTCTCGCTCTGGCCTTGTAA